TCACGCGCCGCCGCTGTGAGCAGGCGAGCTCCGCGCGTGGACCGCGCGTTGCTGCAGGAGGGGGAGGCTGGCTCCCTCAAGGCGACCCAGGCTGGCAGAGCTGCGGATGGGAACCACGCCGCGAGATCAGCCGAGATCAGCGCGAGATCTAGCTGAGACTAGGCGCTTGCTGAGCTGCTGCGCGCGTATGCCCCCGGCGGCGGCGACAACAACGGCGGCGAGGGCGGCGGCGAGGGCGGCGGCGGTCTGTCGGTGCCTTGCGTGCCCCTGCCGTCCGCACGCCACCGCCACTCTTTCTTCACACCGAGCCGCGTGCGCCAGGTGCCCTCCGAGCACCTCGCCCTCCTCGTGGAGCAGACAGAGTGGCTGAGCGGCAGCCGCGCCCCCCGCCAGCCCCTCGCCCGCAGAGCCTACCTCGATGAGGCGTGGAGGCGCACTCTCTCGCTGCCGGGCAGCTAGCCGCTCCAGCAGCCGTTCCAGCAGCCGTCCCTCCTGAGAGCAGCGGCGGAGAGTAGGGTGCTCGTCAGGCGCGAACAGGCCGGTCCCAGGGAGCAGGGTGCCAGGGTCTCCACAGACTTGCGAAGTGGTCGCAGACTCAGTGGTCAGCGGGGGGGCCCACAGACATATGCACAGGACACACCACACACAGAGTGGCGAGACCGAAACGGTAAAAAAGAGAGGGCGCCATGCATGAATAAGCTACACACAACCACATCCACGAAGGATCAGGGACTCCAATTATCAAAGACAAAGATCAAAGACGCGCGACAACGCACAAGGGATGAGGATGATACCCTATTATGTAGTAAGGAACACATGCGCTGGCCTCCACTCCCGCTCCCTCACTGCTCCACTCGCCTCCACGCCGGCGCCGCCATCGCTGCGAGCCGCTCCGCCGCCTCCATCGCCAGCTCCTCCTCCTCGGGCTCCTCCACCGCCGCCCCACCGCGCCCCACCACCGCCTCCCTCTGGCTCTGCCTCTGCGCCGGCAGAGGTAGGTTCAAGCCGGGGCCGCCATCCCCAGAGTAGCCGAGCAGCGAGAGGGAGGCGCCGGGCGCGCCGCCGCCACCCTCCGAGGTGAAGAGCGCCCACGGCCGCAGCGGGCCGGGAGGCAGCAGCAGCTTGGACGTGAAGGGCTCAGCTGCGCCATCGGCAATCTCAAACCCGAGCCGCGACGAGTGCTCTCCGACCTGCACCACCATCGTCAGCGCCCTGCGGCCGTCCTCGTCGGCCAGCTGCGCGAGCGGCACCTCCTCGCCCACCAGCCCGTCCTCCACCGCCGACGGGCACGCGTGCATGCAGCCGCTCCAGCCTCCCAGGCCCCAAGCCCTTGCTCCCCACAGCGCGGGCGACGCCGCAGCGACGCCAACCACCAACCCCTCGCCGGAGCTGACGAAGCGAATGCGGTGCGTCCCGACGCTCAGTATCGGCGCGGCCAGCGAGGCGGAGAGGCCAGGCCCACTCGCGTTCCGCACAAGCGTCCTCTCTCCGACGGAGATCAGCTGAGCGGCGTCGGTTTCGGCGTAGACGTCGGTCCACGCCAGGCCGCTCCGGCGCGAGAGCGCGTCGGCGGTGCGGGCGGAGAATGCGTTGCTCCGCAGTCGCAGCGGAGGTAGGCGAGGTCTCATGTGTATATTGTTGCTCGTGAGCCTTTCCACGTCGCCGAATCTCGGCCCCCCACAGACATCCCGCACACCCGCCGCCCCCCCGCGCGCCCCACCCCGGCCGGGAGAAAGGAGAGTGACAGTTTGGGATGTTTTCTTTTTGAAGGCGCTCAAAAGTCGTACCTAGACACGCCCCCAAAGTGCAAAGATAGAAGCACCCACAGCGACGTCGCGTACGCCAAGGGCGCCGAGCTTCACAGCATCCGACAACTCCAAGGAAGCAAACATGAACACACCAGTGAGGGTGGGCGAGACGATCGAGGGGTCCCGTACCATGCGGAATCGAGCCTATCCAGTGCTCAAGTGCTCAAGGAAGCAAACTTCCGACGAGATCGGGTCGGTCGTGCGTCCATCCGGTGTGCAGACGTTCTATGTCGTCGGACGCCGCCTCGTACCTCTCGCTGCCTCCAAGGCCGGCGGCGGCAGCCTCTCCCTCCCGCCTCCTCGGCGTTGTCGCGCTCACCCTCGCCGGCGCCGCCGGCGCCGCCTTTGTCCTCCTCCAGAGCGGCGGCCTCCGCGACACGAGCCTCAGCAGCCAAGCGGCCGCCGTCTCGGACGCGGAGGCGTTTCGCGTCCACAACTTGCCCGACCTGCCGCACGAGGCTCGATCCCTCAAGCAGTACGCCGGCTTCCTCCCGACGGCGCTCGACAAGCCAGACTGGAACTCGCACCTCTTCTTCTGGCTCGTGGAGGCGGAGGAGGAGGCAAAGAGCAGCGAGCCCACTCCCCTGCTCATCTGGCTCAACGGCGGGCCGGGCGCCTCCTCCCTCACCGGCCTGCTTCTCGAGAATGGCCCCTTTGGCTTCCGGCTCGGCGACTCCAAGCTATCTTACAACCCGCACGGTTGGACAAAGGTGGCGCACATGGCAGCGATTGAAGAGCGTCCGTGGTCTCCGACTAGTCTCGTCAGTGACACGTAAAGGATTGTGATTCCAGGCCGCCATCGACCAGCCCGTCGGCGCCGGCTTCTCGTACACCAAGAGCAAGCCGGGCGAGTGGGGGGACGGGCCCGGCTACGTGAACTCGCTCACGGAGATGGCCGAGCAGCTCTACCCCGTCATCGTCGCGATGATTGCAAAGTTTGACTGGCTCAAGGACGCCCCCGTCTACATTGCGGGCGAGTCGTACGCGTCCAAGTACATTCCTCGCATCGCGCACTACATCCACACCAAGAACGAAGCCGCGGGCTCGAAGCTCGTAAACTTGGCCGGCATCGCCATCGGCAACGGGATCGGCGACATGGTACCGTATGTCGCGTACGAATCCACACCCGACTACCTCCGCCACTTTGGCCTCATCGACGCCGAGACGCAGGCGTGGGCGCACGGGCGCCTAGCGGTGTGCAAACAGCATTGCGACCGTGAGGAGTGGGCCGAGGCGTACAAGGTGTGCGAGGACATGTCTGAGACGCTCCTCAGCGAGAAGGCGCAGGTCCCATTCATCTACGACATCCGCGCTACCACCGACGTCTTCAGCGACCTCTCCGCCGTGACAGCCGCATGGATCAACGACCCCGCCGTGCACAAGGCGCTCAACGCGGGAGGCTTTCCGTGGCGCCAGTCGGACGGGCAGGGCCCCTCCTCCATCGGCAAGCCCGTGCCGGATCACCTCGAGAGCGACCAGCTGCTGCCCATCCCCACCAAGATCATCACCGACCTCATGGAGAAGTACCAGTTTATGACGTACTCGGGGCAGTACGACGGCTCTCCGTGGAACTTCCTTGGGAGTGAGCGTCTCATCGACCAGCTGGAGTGGAAGGGAAAGGCCGCGTACAACGCGAGCGCTCGCGTCGTCTGGAAGGTGGATGGCGAGGTTGCTGGATACATGAAGGGCGACGTCGCCGGCTTCTCCTACGTCCTCGCGACCAACTGCGGCCACCTCGTGCCCACGGATCAGCCCAAGAATGCGCTCGACCTCATCCGGAGGTTCATCAAGCGCGAGCCGTTCGCTTAGCTTGGCGCCTGGGGCTGGGCTGGAGAGGCGCCCCTGGCTAGAGCCGTCGGTGGGGTGGTCCTGGTGGCGGAGTAGCTCGGCTAGGCGGTGCAGCCGCGCTCGCGATGAAGCAATTTACGCAGGCTTTCCTTTTCTCTCTCTCTGCGCTCGCCGACATGCGACAATCAACATCAACACGCAAACCTTCACATGTAATGTGTGGAAATAAAGAACGGGCAGGGAAATCGTCGCGGATCATGCGCGACGTCACGACGCGCGCGGGCGCACGCCACAGCAGCACGACAGAGCAGAGGAAACTCCCTCACCGGGGAGAATCGCGCTCTCTAGCGCCCACTCTCAGAGGCGCAGCTCGATGGGCTCTCTCCGCTTCCCGTCCCCTTCTCTCGCCGCGGCGGCGAGCTCCTCGAGGTGTACGGCGTCGAAGCCTGCGCATCCACACGCCACGCGTGAACGGCTCCTCCCCACGGCCCGCGCACGCGCGCCCTCGCGAGCCGTTGAGAAGAGTCGCTTGCTACTGCTAATAACAATGATACTGTACTACTACTACTACTACTACTACTACTACTCGCGAGCCGTTGAGGCGCAAGTCGAGCTCTCGCAGAGAGGCGCTGCTCCGCAAGCAGCGAGCCAGCGCCTCGACCGCCGCGTCCGCACTCACGCCGGAGGAGCCGAGGCCCGACTTGTCGCCTGCCCATAACGATAGGAACAAGAAGTGATAGGAGGCAAGCCCGACTTGTCGCCTGGCCACGGCGCGAAGTGCGAGCAGAGCCGATCGAGTGGTCGGGGCTCTGGCCCTTTCAAACTGGCTCCACGGACGCGGGTACCCCTCGGTTGCACCTCGCCTGCACCTCGGCTACCTCTCGGCAATCTCTCTCCCGTCGCGCCGATGTTGTTGTCGGACAAGTCGAGCGAGACGAGAGCCACTCCTACAGCCACCCAAATACGCGCCGTTCGCCGCCGCGTCACGCCCTCGGCAGTGTGGCAAGGCGGAGCTGGCGACCAGAGGTGAGCGCCTCAGCCAGCGCCGCCGCGCCGTCCGCACCGCAGTGGCACTCGTGCAAGTCGAGCCTACCCCGTCACCGCACCCGCAACCCGTCACCGGCAGCCCGCCGCGCTACCGCCGCTGCGCTATCGCCGTCCCGCTATCGCAGCGTTACACCCGGCTGTGTGCTGGCGCGGCGCTCGTGTGAGCCAAGCGCTGCCCCCACGCAGCTCGCTACATCTCGGCTGCGTCTCGGCTGCGTCTCGAGACCGGCGCAAGGTGCTGCCCGCAGCCAGGGCTGCCGCCTAGGGGACGTGTCGTGGACGTGTCGTGGACGTGGCCAGAGGCTGCTCGACAGGGCGGCGGGAGGAAGCCAGCTCAGTCGTACCGGCGGCTCCGACAGCGCACGAGGCGAGGCGGAGGGAGGAGAGGCCTTGTGCATGCGCCGAGGCGTGACGAGCGCAGCTCCACGGCGCAAGGGGAAGAGGTTTGAGGGAGGGAGAGGCGGAGGGAGGGAAGGGCGGAGGGAGGGGCCTGGGACAGCGGCGAGGCCTCCTCCCGCCCGCCCAAAGGCGTTGTGGGAGAGGTTCAGCTCCGCGAGGCCGCTCCCCTGCAATCTCGCAGTGAGCTCGGTGATCTCGGGTGATCTCGCGCAGAGAGGGTGCTGGGAGCGAGGCCCACCCCCGCCGCCGCTGCGAGCGCCTGGAGCGGGGAGCAGGAGCTGTGAGCTGAGCAGGAGCCGTGGGCTGCAGGTAGAAGTGGGCTGCAGGCAGCAGTGGGCTGCAGGTAGCAGGAGCTGTGAGCTGAGCAGGAGCTGTGCTACGCCCTTGCGTCAATAGTGTTGGTCCGTGGTGGGGTGACGAGTAGGACTAGACCAGGGCGCTAGGGCCAGAAGACGCGCCTCTCCGATGGCGGTGCAGGCGGAGGCACCTAGGCAAACGCATCCGAGATATGGCCGAGATATCACCTCTCCGACAGCGGTGCAGGAGTACAGGAGGAGTCAAACTAAGGACCTCTCCTCGCTCGGATGTGTGTGTGTGTGCGTGCAGTGTCGCACCGATCGCGTTCGCCGACATCGCCAGCGAGCGCAGCGAACCATGCGCCGCGGCAGCCTCCGCGAGCAGAGCGGCGCTGGCGCGAAGGTTGTTTTGACTCGCGTCTAATTTCGAGAGCTGTGGCGAAGATCGCACGATGGCGACGAGTGACTCCGCACCGCCGGCGCCGAAGCCGTTGCCGGACACATCGATCGACTCGACCCCTGCGTTCGTCTTCACGAGAGTCGAAACGAGAAGCAAATCCTCGGCGTCAAGGCCTTTTGCCCGCAGGAAGTCGAGGCTGCGCTCGGTCGAGAGGGCGCTCGTAGGGCGGCCGATCTTCGACACCAGGCGCGACGTCGCAGCGGTGCTACAGAAGCGACGGCCTCGTCGCATAGAGTGGATCGAGCGAGCCGATGCCGGCGTGCGGCGCGAAATTCTTTTTCGCGCGGGCCCGTACCTGAGCCTGACTGATGTGCGCCTGCTCCCGCCTCCGCCCTCATCCTCGCCTCCTCCCTCTCCCTTGCCGCCTCCTCCCTCGCCCTCGCAGAACGATAGCTGCTGAGCGTGGTGAGGAGAAGGCGGTGCTGGTGTGTTTACTTTAAGGCCCTTGCCCTGCGAACGCGCACCCCCGGGGCTAGGGCTCTCTAGCCCGTAACCCGATGCCAATCATCCGGCCCGCTGGGTGCGCTTCTGAGCTCCCCGGCCCTGGATGTGCGGTTGATGACTGCACTCCAAGTGCTCCAAGTGTGGGCCGAACTGTGAATTGCGTTAGGGCTCTGAGCTGGTTCTCGGCCCGAATCCACATACCAACCACAACGACCGACGGCGGACCTGTCCGCTGCGTGAGCTGAGACGCGGGCGGCGGGCGCGCGGAGGGGCAGCGTGAGGTGACGTTACGCTTACGGCTTCTGGAGGCACCTGGGGGTAGGGGGTGCGCGGGCATGCGGAGGGGCGGCAGGGCGTGAGGGTGACGGTGTGACGCTGTCCGACAAAACTACCGTTACAGCAATCTGGAGACCTGTGAGTAGGGGGGTAGCGGTAGGGGGTAGCGCCGCTGTGGGCCTGGACACGTGTCGAGGGGTAGGGGGGTAGGGGGTAGCCCCCCGATCGGCACCCGACCCCTACCCTTCCCCCCATACAGCTCGAATCCTGCTGTGAGAGCGGCTTGTAAGTTGGCTTCTTCGAATTCTTTTCGCCGTGGCGACGATTCGTGGCACGTGGCACGTGGGGGCCTCTCCGCCCACGCCCCGGACTCCGCGCCCTCTCGGCTCTCGCGTCAAAATTCCTTTTCAATATCTTTTTACCAACAAGCACAAGAGCGTGGACTAGCACACACATCGGCACACCACCGGAGCCGCCTATGCGACTACGAGAGCTTGCCTGTCGGACGAGAGAGCTTCGGAGGCACGCCCTCGCGCCAGACGGTCGACCGAACGGTCACTCCGCAGGCACCACCCGGGCGCCGAGTTTGCGGTGTGCATCACCGGCCTCGAGCGCACACTGCTCTCACAGATGACATGTGACGTACGGACAATATCGGGCCTACCTCCGTTTGTAGAGGCACGGCTTGAGCGGCACGGCGGGTGGCGCGGCTGGCGCCGCCCCCTCGCCCTTGATCTCCCCCTTTCGGAAGCCAAAGAGGACAAAGTGCGAGTTGGAGTCGTCGCGGTCGACCAGCTGGAAGCCGAGGGCGTCGCGCATCATCGCGAGCCACTCCTCCGTGTCCCCGAAGCGAGACTTGACCTCCGCTATCCTCAGGTGGCCCCGCGGCCTGAGGATCCGGCGCGCCTCGCGCAGGAACTGGACGTAGTTTGAGCCCATCAGCGCGAGGCAGTACACCGCCGCGTGCACCGACGAGTCGCGCACGGGCAGCGCCGCCGCGTCGCAGGCTGTCACGTGCGGCTGGGAGGCGACCAGGTCGAAGGAGAGCACCTTCTGCGGCGCACGCGCGGCGATCTCCGCGTCGCCGCACCCCACGTCCGCCACCACCCACGCGGCCGGCTTCCCTCGCAGCCAGCCGAGGATCGCGTCGACGGGGCGCAGCGGCCAGCCCGCAGCCTGCCGACCGAGAGACAGGGGCGGGGTGTGCGTGAGGCGCCTCTCAGGGGGGGGGCTGTTTTGAGGCGTCTGCGGGGTGTTTGAGGCGTCTCGGACGCGTCTCAAGGCCTGCAGCCGGAAGCCCTCGTGGTAGGCGTGGAAGAGCTCGGGCTGGGCGCCGAAGAGGGCCACCGCGTGCGCCGAGTCGCGCGTGTACAGCTGCTCGTTGATGTCGCGGAACCGCGCGCCCGCCAGCTGCGCCTGCAGCCCGCCGCGCCCTCGCCCCGTCGGCTTGGCGGCAGCGGCGGGCCTGGAAGGAGCGGGCTGGCTGCTTCCCGCCGCCGCCGCCGCCGCCGCCGCTTCGGGCCTCTCCGGCGCCGGCCGCCCCTTCTTGCGCTTCTTGCGCTTCTTGGAGACGGAACCTTCTGCGATGGTGGCGTTGGCCGCTGCGTTTGGCCGCTGCGTTTGGCCGCCTCCGCCGCTGCGTTTGGCCGCCGCGTCAGCCCGCTGGCTGGTAGCGCCGACTGCACCCGAGCGCCTGGCCTTGAGGAAGAGGGCGCTGAAGTCCACATCGGTGGCAGACATGTTGTACTTGTGCGCGAGCCGGTGTCAGTGCTGCTGAACCTTCTTTTCTAGACCGGAAGGATTGAGAGCAGCCTCGCTCTCAATCCTAGAAGTCGAAGGATTGTGAGCAGCACTCCTCGCAATCGTAGCATCTCTGTGCGATTGCGAGCGCCGGCGCTCGCAATCCTACATCTTCTAGGACTAAGAGCAGCTCTGCTCCCAAGGTGACTGGTGACGCCTACGACTACTGCCAGAGCGCTCGCAATCCTAGCAAAGTCTAGGATTGCGAGCAGCACTGCTCACCATCCTAGCAACATGCCTCCGATTGCGAGCAGTGCTGCTCACAATCCTACATCTTGTAGGACTATGAGCGGCTGCGCTCACAATCGTACCGAAGATCCAGAGTGCAGAGATCTGCGCTCGTAATCCTAGCAACATGCACCGATTGCGAGGTAACCCGCTCGCAATCCTTAGATCTTGGGTACGATTGTGAGCGCCGCCGCTCATAGTCCTACAAGATGTAGGATTTGCGAGCGCTACTGCTCGCAATCGGAGGCATGATGCTCGGATTGTGAGCAGTGCTGCTCGCAATCCTAGACTTTGCTCGGATTGCGAGCGCGCTGGTAGTAGTCGTAGGCGTCACCAGTCACCTTGGGAGCGGAGCTGCTCTTAGTCCTAGAAGATGTAGGATTGCGAGCGCCGGCGCTCGCAATCGCACAGAGATGCTACGATTGCGAGGAGTGCTGCTCACAATCCTTCGACTTCTAGGATTGAGAGCGAGGCTGCTCTCAATCCTTCCGGTCTAGAAAAGAAGGTTCACCGTGCTCAGTACGCGCCGGGCGCGCACGGTTTTCTTTTTTCTGTAGGAATTCGAACTTTTGCGTTTTTAGCGCCCCTTGTGAGGACCCGCGCTCAGCTCGAGAGCGAGCAGGGCCTGTGCGCGCCTTGCCTGCCTGCGCTGCCTGCGCTGCCGACTGCTGCAGCCAGGTCGGAGAGAGAGTTTTGCCAGGTCGGTGGGAGGCGACCATGAGCGGCCTTCGTCGTCGCTCGAGAAGAAGGCATTCCCGGTGATGCAATTGCCCACGCAGCCCGCCTATTCTACAAGCGCGCCGCTCGAGGTTTGCACGATCAGAGGTTCCTCCTTTCCGCTCCCCCAAGGCGCGAGACACACACGAGGGATGCGGTCGGTAGCAGGTTACGTTGGCTAAGCCCGCCTCAAAGACGGGCGTACCGGGAGCTGGCGCGTCGTGGCTTGTGGAAGCGATGCCAAACGGCGGCGGCGGCGGCGGTGCCGCGAGCGTGAGGTGCACGATCGCGAGCGAGCGAAGCCGTTCAGCAGTCGGCCCGGAGCGGTCAGTGGCTGAGGGGTTGAGGGTTGAGACCACGGGTGGACAACGTCCAAAAAGAAAGAAAGAAAACAGACAACCCAAGGGAGAGTCCTTTTAATGTGGCTCATACCATTAGGTAGGTAGGTAGAAAGGTGAAGAACAGCCAGGCTCGGACTGGACACCAACGCGGTATGGGTGGACGCTGGACAGATGATGACGACACGCACGAGCGACACACAGACACAAACAAGCTCACAAGACACACAGCCAGCGGGCTGCCACACACCATACCATTAGGTAGGTAGGTAGAAAGGTGAAGAACAGCCAGGCTCGGACTGGACACCAACGCGGTATGGGTGGACGCTAGACAGATGATGACGACACGCACGAGCGACACACAGACACAAACAGGCTCACAAGACACACAGCCAGCTGGCTGCCACACACCCTGAGTAGGCGTACACATAACTCAGGGCCACATCCTCCCTGTTGCCCCCCCCAGCACTCCAAGGCACCAGAAGAACAAACAAGGGCACAACAAACAACAGACAACAGGAAGTGACATGCGAGGCTAGAGCAGTCTTGCTCTACCTCCAGCAATCTCGCCGGCCGGCGAGGCACGGACGAGACCGTGTGTGCGGTCATGTGAGGTGTCTATGGACGCTCTCCTCAGAGGCTAGCTGCCTGCGGCTAGCCCTATCTCGCACTCACGGGCAGTGACAATTCAATGGGTGAGTGTTTGCGAGCAGAGGCGCGTGGGCTAAATCTAGGCCGCACGTCGTGGCACTATGACGAAGGTAGACGTGCGGCCGCAGCGCGCCCGCCGCAGGCTCGGCGGTGCGCGCGTGTTAGCGAGAAAGTTGCGGGTGGAGCCATGCCCGACTTTTCGAAGGTGAGGCCTCTGCGACGAGTGCCAGCCGCGCTGCGGAGCCACACCCTTCGAGCCGCGTCCCGTCGGCACTGTCCCTGGTGCGTCCCGCCTTGGCGGCACACACTCTCGACGAGGACAGTCCTGCTGACGAGAACGTGTCGCGCGCCGGCGACGATTGCGGCGTGGTCGTTGTGAAGCGGAGATGGCACGACCACCGCCCTGCTTCGCAGACCGGGCAAGGAGGGGCCTGCTCCCGTTCCGCGAGGAACAGGAGGTCTCCCCCCCTCCCCCGGCCTGAGCAGCGACGTGTGGAAGGCAGCCCCTTGAGTCGAGGGCGGCGCGACCATTGCTGCTCTCCAATGACCAGAGGCCCGGTAACTGCAGATGGTCGCGCCGCCCCGCTCCGCCCCGCCCGCCGCCGCGCCGCGCCGCCGCCTCGCGCAGCCGCCGCGCCGCGCCCCGCCCGATGATTAATAATTAAGATTACCCGGAATACAGTACGCAATTAAGGAATTAATGAGTGAATTAATCAATTCAGTGAGCGCCCTCGCGTCACCTATGACTCGACCAGTGTGAAGGTGAAGAAATGTCACCGAGCGTGCGTGCAGCTGGCCCGGGGGGGGGAGAGAGAGAGAGAGAGACTCAGAGAGAGAGAGAGAGAGAGGGAGAGGGAGAGAGAGAGAGAGAGAGAGAGAGAGAGAGAGAGAGAGAGAGAGAGAGAGAGAGAGCGAGGGAGGGAGAGAGAGAGAGAGAGAGAGAGAGAGAGAGAGAGAGAGAGAGAGAGAGAGAGAGAGAGAGAAGGGGGGGGGGGGGGGCATCAGGAGCAGCATCACTAGTCCTCGTAGTACATCATGAAGTAAACTCAAAGACCCACCACAGCCTCCAGCCTCCACCTCCACCCGCGAGCCGCCACCGCTGCCGCCCGCGACGCCGCCCGCCGCATCAGATAGCCGCGACGCGCGCATCGAGTCGCGTCGGAGAGCCGCGCCGCACCAGCAGCAGCATCTGCACCACCAGCAGCAGCAGCAGCACCACCACCACCACCACCCGAGAGAGAAGCGCACCTGCCCGACGCCGCCCGCCGCGTCAGACGCTCGCGACGCGCGCGTCGAGCCCAGTCGCAGAGCCGCGCCGCGCCAGCAGCAGCATCTGCACCAGCAGCAGCAGCACCACCACCACCAGCAGCAACAGAGACAGGCAGTGCAGGCGCAGAATCGCTCGCAGAGCGGCGCGCAGCGCTGCGCACGCCACGCTGCGGACCGTCGTACGAGCGCACCGTACGTCGGCGGCGAGCCGCGTCGCCAGCCGTCTCGCGAGAGAGCGGCGCCGCCGGGTGCGCGCAGCAGCCGCCGCGGCAGAGGCGAGCCGCGGCGACGTCCGCACTAACGGATAACGGCCATTCAGTGTCCATTCCCTTTGCACGAAATATATCCTTTGCTGGGAGGTTGCCGGAAAACGAGGTTGCCAGAAAACACCGTGCTTGCCCCCGACGGCCTCCCCGACCGCGACACACTCCTCCCGTTGGCCTGCTTCGATTCTGGCAGTGAGCATCTACAAAGCGCACAGCGTCGCTACTCCCAGATCATTCATCACGCAGCATGGCTCGGCTTTTGGAATGCGTTGCAGCTACCGGGCGTGGTAAGGCGGGAGGCGGTGCGCTTCATCGCCGTCAGCCAGTACCAGGCGGGCGCCTTCCTCAACGCCGTCCCCTCGCGCCGCGACTTTCGTATCCCGACGTGGGCGCTGCGCATCGCCGTCCAGCGGCGCCTCGGGCTACCACTTGACGAGGCGCTCGCGCGGGGCGCGCCGACCTGCTCGGCGCGCGGCGGCAAGGTGCAGGACCCACTGGGCGACGCGGCCAGCAACATCGGCCGCCTCGGGCACTGCGGCCGCCACAACAGCCTCCTCGCCGCCCTGGCCAAGGTCATGCGGAGCGTGTGGGGCATGCTCGTCGAGGTGGAGCCGCGGGACCACCTCGGCTACTCTAACGACTACCGGCCCGACGTCTCGGTGGCGGGCGCCGGCCGCTCGCGCTCGCGCCTCATCGGCGACGTCAAGTTCAAGGACTCGCTCTCCTCCAACCCGGAGGACGTCGGCCAGCGAGGCGCTTTCGTCGGCCTCGGCAACACCGAGCCCGGCACGAGCGCGGACGTCTTCGGCCTCGAGCAGCGCGGCGCTGT